ACAGCTTCCCCGCAGTCATGTGATCAGGATTTGGGCTGTCCACAATCAGTGAGCATTTACAAACCTCATAGTATCTCACAGTCACATGACCATCATTTATTTTTGTTTATTTAATTTGCACACTTAATAGCTGGCTACCAACAAGCAGAATCAATGGAGGAGCCGGCAAGTCACGTTCACATGATGTCTCACTTAACAACTGTGTCACTTAGTAGTGGAATTGGCCAGTCCCACTAGTGGTTGTTAAGGACTACCTATACTCTTTATACATTCTTATTTGGTGAAAAAAAATAACTTGTGTTAAAAATATTACAAAGATGATTAAAAGAATGACTAAAACTATCTAACAAAATGCTTCTCAGCATATCATCATCAGAAAATATGAAAATTAACTACATCGATTTCATGATTTTCTGAAATGTAGTTAATATGTATATGCATTTATGTTTTTTAAGATAAATATTTTACATATTATTGGTTAGGGCAATGGTGGCAAACCTATGGCATGCGTGCCAGAGGCGGCACTCAGAGCCCTCTCTATGGGCACGCGCGTCGTTGCCCCAGCCCTGCCTCCACGCACGGCCCCCTCCTTACCAGCAGCTCCCCTGGAGGAGAGTCGCCCCCAAGCGCAGCCCGCACGGAGCAGGGCAGCCAAGGACATGGCAGCCAGACAGTGGGGACAAGACTCCACCCTTGCGCCCCATCGCACGCAGTTGATTCTGTGGGGCACGGGTGGGTGGTGTGGCCACCATGGCGCTGCTGGGCTGCCTGGACAATCTGTGGTGGGCCATGGAGGTGGTGAGTGGCCCTGCGGGATGGTGGGGGCAGGGCGGGTGGGATGGGGACAGGGGATGGGGCCGGGTTTGGGGCATTTGGTCTCTAAAAGGTTCGCCATCACTGGGTTAGGGCATTAAAGACGTTTTACTGATTATAATCCTTCTTTCTGTTACAGTATATGAAAATTCTCCTAACTTCAAGTGGAAAAGTGTTTTATAAATATGGCATATACACAAGTTTGACAGAAGTGCTCTTCTATATTCTGAACTTAAAAACACTAACATTTTTAATGCCAAAATTGCATATAAATCGCATTCACAAATGGACTTGGATTTTATTATTAATCTGATTAAATAATAACTTGTCAGAGAGCGATTGGAAGAATCATTCAGGGAGGAACAAGTGAATTATTTATTTCAAAGCAAAATATTTAAAACTTCCTTTGGACATTTGAATAGTTTTGTAAAGAAATTTGGAATGTTATTATTGATTAAATTTGTATGCTGCCTGATTCAGCAATATGAGGGTTTAAGCTTGTTTCTTTATTTAAACATTGTAATTTCATTGCCACTATGTTATTTGTATAATAAATACAATAACTAACTATTTTTGTTCATATTTAGTTGTTTCCCTTTTTATGTCATCATTATGTCATTATTATAATCATTATAATCATTATATACTTTTTCAGAATCTTTTTTTAACTTGACTAGAAAAAGACTAAAATACTATAGAATAGGATTTCTACAGATTAATGAATACTAGCAATATAACATTCAACCTCATTTAAATACAGTTGAATGAAAGTATGAAATGTTTAGATCTGAACTTTGTCTGCAATTTTCCTGCAAATTTCCAAATCTGCATGTATTACAGTAATGATAAAATTCTGTGCATCTTCAAAAAAAAGCATGAAAAGCATGGTGGCTGGATATAGGCAAAGATACAATCATTCAATTCTATAAATTATATAAAGGAAGAAAAAATGACATTAAAAGCACAACATAGAACAATTAAAATTTATATTCCTCACTAGAATATTTGACTTATCTCTTCAGAATCGGCCTCCCCTGAAGCATCTCTTTTCCTGTTTCAAATTTCCTGTATTCCTATCTTTTTGGAAACTTTAAGATTTAATCAAAAGGTATGGTGGAGCAGTGTTAAAGCCCTCACTTTTATATCTTCATGGCAGTAACCTCTGCTCCCAGTTTTAAAAGGATCAAAACTTTTTTTATATCTAGCAGAGCAAGGGGCTAGATTATCTTCCTATGTTCATATCACAGAAAACATATTTCACTTATGAATGTGAATTGTCTGAGTCTGTTTGGCTTAAAGTCTGATAAACCATGAATGCCTGAGCTTGTAGGCATAACAATGGCAAAAAAATTTAACCAATGTGGGAAAATGTGTTTTCGAAGTGTCGATCTATAATTTTCAGCATTCCTTAGCAATATGAAATGCTGAAAGTTGTAGTTCAGTAATATTTGGTAAATGCTTTAGGAAAAGCCTGTAAGGCATTAGAACAAGCTGTGTAGTCTTTATATAAGTTATATGGAGTGACAGAATTAAGTGTTTTGAATAATGAAGTTGCATTCTACTGAACATTGTGAAAATTTGACATTGATTACACCAAGCATCTCATCTGAACCCTAAAGGAGAGCTACATGCTTACACTGCTGACAGCAAATAAGCAATACTTGTGTCAATTAGAAAAAAAAATAAAATATATGGTATCTTGTGAATTAAAAAGAGAGTGTTAGCTATGAAAGAATAGAATGGAATGGAATGGAAGCTGCAAGGGACCTTGGAGGTCTTCTAGTCCAGCCCCCTGCTCAAGCAGGAGAACCTATATCATTTTAGACAAGTGACTGTCTAGTCTCTTCTTTAAAATCTCCAGTGATGGAATGCCCATAATTTCTGAAGGCAAGCTGTTCCACTGGTTAATTGTCCTCATTGTTAGGAAGATTCTCCTTAATGCTTCTCTCTTTGATCAGTTTCCAACCATTGTTTCTTGTCCTGCCCTCTGGTGCTTTGGAGAATAGTTTGACACCCTCTTCTTTGTGGCAGCCCCTCAAATACTGGAATACTGCTATCATGTCACCCCTGTTTCTTCTTTTCTTTAGACTAGCCAAACCCAAGTCCTGCAGCCTTCATAATAGTAAAAGACCTAAGTGAAAAATACATTCTATTTTGAGCTTAGAATTAATAGACATGTTTATAACATTCTGTCAGGATATCCAAAGTTGTTACGTGTTCTTTGATCCCAAGGGCGGCAGAAGTAGATTGAATGGTAACATGCTAATTGTCAAATTTTCAGAAAAAATGATCTAAAGAGACCATTTTAAAACTAGTTTTGAAAAATTCTATTATAATGATAGAAGTTAATATATACAGTATATTAACCACTAAGCCATTTTTTGCTTTGGGAGAATGCTCACTGAAAGAAAATAAAGAGATATTAGGCATTGTGGTCATTTTCAAAGAACACATTTTCCGCATTTCTTTAATTGACTATCAGGCACTGCCATAAGATGAATCCCCCAGTGTTAGATGATCCTGACCTGATCTTGTTGCCTCAGCTTTGGATTACCAACACTCATAATCTCATTTGTTCCTTTTAATATGAAATCAAGTTATACTTTTCTATTGATTTGAAAAGTAAATAGTGCTGCACAAGAAAAATTTGCTTGTGGACACACTTCTTAATTACTAGTCCCCAGCTTATTGCCTTCAGATATGTTCAGTGTCATGGTCAAAATGAAAGCGCAAAATCACTGAAAGGTACCCTAGTAGGTGATAATTCCCTTACCTAAACATATGTAAAGAATTAGGCACACTAAATAAAAAATGGTCTTCCACAATATTAAAGGCATAACTAAAGAAATCTAAGAACTCATTTTTAAAATTCATATTTTTATATTTGTTAATAAATTTTAAATTTTCTCACTTTTTCCTGGGTTTAGGAAAAAAAGGACATTAAGCATTTAGATGTCAGAGTCAGAAAATAGAAACTCAGAAAGGAACAGAAACTGTCTATACTTCATCTTCCTACCCCTCCCTCCAATATAGGACCTAATGGAATGGATCATTTAACCAAAATGTTTGCCAGTGCAACTTCCAAAATAAATCATTGCTTATATCTAAAAGAAAGAAAGTACAAGCAAGGAAAAGATACAGAGAAAATGTGAGAGGAAAATGTCAATGTTGTCCTCTAAAATCACCTCCTCTAATCAGGGAGTTCTCCAAATATGTACACGTCAGCTCCCAAACAAGTACAGCTACTGTGGACAATTCTGCAGATCAAAGTCCACACATTTGGAGGGCAATGAAAAGCTACTATAAAGCTTCTTTCAAGTTGGGCTGGGAAACTGAATAAGCTCAAACTGCTTTGCTTCACAAGTTCTAAGTTTAAATTTTTGTACAGTAAGGATGCTGGTCTAGTCTACTCAAAGTGTGTTATCAGTTGGATTCCTATACAAATGAGATTTTATTCTTATAATGGATCTTAGCAATATTTACTTTCCGATGATAGTCATCTCTGCAATGACTTTTTGCATATTTTCTGAAACCCAAGGTATGACAGGCTGGGATTTTTATTTGAAACTCTGCCTATGAGATTCCCTTTCAAACAGAACCAGGTCGACAGAAAGTTAACAAAAGAATTGTAGGCATAAAACCTCCTGCTCAATAAAAGGAAAAGATGAGAAGAACAAATTGTCTTTGGTGAATATTAGAGCAGGATTCCTCTAGATGTGTTCAGACTACAACTCTCAAAAACCACGGTCTAGAATTCCTATTTGGACAGCACCCAACTGGTGAACGACTATGGGGGAGACTGCAGCTTCAGCAGACAACAGACGATTAAAACTACTCTGGAGGCGCGCGCTTCTCCGCATGATTGCATTTTTGTGATTGGTTAACGTCCCTCCTGAACGTTGAGGTGACGCGCGAGGGGGCTGGGCAAAGGACCTCCCACTTTCTTTTACCGTTTACGCCCCAAGCTGTCCCAGCTGCCTCGTCCTGTCTTTGCTACCGCCAATCAGCTGCGAGTTCCGGATTTGGTCCGCCTATCCGAAAGGGGGTGCTATCTTACATTTCCTGAGACTACTCACAGAGAGCGAGGTCCCTCCGTTCGAGTTGAGGGGCAGGAAACGACGAGTGGCGGTTTTGTACGACGCTGGGGCTAGAGAGTCGCCCGTAAAGGCGGAGGCGAAGTTGGGCGGAGCGGCTGCCTGAGCTTTCTTTTCGGGCCGCGCAGCAGACGCACGAGGGGACGGAGGGGAGAGGCCGTTGAGCAGGGGCCGAGGAGGGTCTCGCCATGGCGATCCGCAAGAAGACTAACAAGAACCCTCCCGTGCTCAGCCATGAGTTCGTCGTGCAGAACCACGCGGACATCGTCTCCTGCATGGCCATGGTCTTCCTGCTGGGGCTCATGTTCGAGGTGAGAGGAGGGAGAAGGCAAAGCGCTGCAAGACCTCAGCGCGGTTGCCGGATCCCCTATAGGAAGGGCTGGGCGGAGGTTAGCGGGGAAGATGTTTCGGAGTGACACGGACGAGGAGACCAAATGGGAATGGTCAACACCAGGAAAGCCAGAACTGATTTCTAGTAGCAGTCTTTAATTCCTTGGCTGCCGCTTCTCCTAACTGCCGTTGCCGGGGTGGGGTAAACGCAGTGCCTGAAGCGGTATACGTGTTAAAGATACCCAAGTGTGTGATCATATGGATCCCCGTACCACAAATTGCTTGGCTGATTCTGATGAGGAAAGCGATCGTCTCTTGCTCGTAAATCTTTGTCGGAACTATCTAGTCGCTAGTTTAGAGGAAGAGGGGAAAAAATAAGCAACTGGAGAGCGTATCCTACTCCGTGGCTCCATGTGGAAGGGCAGCTTCGCTTGTCTGTCTGTCCTCTGGGTCATATCTGGTCATCTCGGTCGTTCCTTGTATTGCCTGTTCTTGTCTGAAATGGGGGCAGGTAAGGCTCAGCAATGATTGTAGCGAGCTGATGGGAAGAACAGCAACTCAAAGGCGCAACCACCTGCCGGCGGGAGCGGTGGTCCCTTCTCGATGGGTAGGCTGGTCGTGTCCTTGTCCCTGTTGGTTCATCAAACCGTTTCTGAGAGAGTCGTCTAGGAGGGTCTCCCACCCATTGCAGCTCTGTCGCTCGTCTGGGGCAGCTGCAGTATCCTGGAGCAACCCGGGCTTAAATACAACGCTGAGAGCCTGTTTTACTCATTTGTATTTTACGCCCCTTTCCTGGGAAATACAATTGATTGAACGGCTTTCGAAGCAAGCGTGCAGCAGCGACTTGCGGTGCTTAGCTTCCCGAAATTGGCAGGGAAGAAGAGGAAAAGGGAAAGAGAGTTGTATGTATGTTTTGCAGAAGGCGCTGCGCCGCGCACGCTTCGTTCCAGCGCGCGAGTTCCTGGTCTCGGATAGGTTACGTGGCACTCGGAGCGCGAGCGCGGTGTCAGGGCGGGGGGAGTTGGCCGCCCCTCTGCGATTTGGGGGCGGGAAGGGCCGGCAGGGCTGGGGCGGGGGGGGCTGCAGGCGAGGCGTCTCCCCTTGCCAAAGCTGACGGGAGGGTGAGGGGGGAGAGAAGAGGCGCTGGCTTTTGTGTGCAGCCGGAGAACTACAAACCCCATGGGGCGTTGCGGCAAGCGACTCCTCCCCTCCGCTTCGGAAAAGGTAAAATGATTGGTGACGTGTACAGAGAGCCGTCCGCGATGCACATCAGAAGGGGCGGGGTTGGTTCACGCCCCTGAGGATGGTATGACACGTATCCAGTTTTGCCTGTTACTGCTGGAGTGTAGAAACAGGTACCGGAAGAAAAGCTGCAGCATGCCCCAGTTCCATAACTTGCTTTTTCGGTGGTAGTGGGGCGGAGTTAAAATCCTTGGAGCTTCACCCACTGTTAGAAAATTTGCTCCAGAAGATAATAAAGGACTTAAATGGCGCAACTTTAAAATTTCTAATTCTGATCACTTTTAGCATGGAGAAAATATGCCTTCTTGAAAGGTGTGAAACTGGAATTTCAAGTAGGAATAGCAGTCTGTCTTTTGTGCTGAATAATCATTGGCTGGGGTCCCAAACTTCATAGGCCGAAAATCCTGTGGATTATGAATTGGCTTTCAATTCAGAATTTTGTCTGAATGTAACTAGTATCATTAGGGTTCACTGTTGTGCAAAGCAAGGAAATTGAATTCAGTAATCCATTCTTAAATTAATGATGGTTCAGTATGAACTCAGCCACCACTGTGTAAAATGTATTTAATCAGTATAATACTAATTTAGTTGGTGGATTTGTTCATCATATGAAGAAGAGGTTGCAGAAGATGAAGTCTATTTGGTATTATTTTGCCTATCTGTGATGTCCTAATAGGTTTATCCTGATTAAATTGCTAATTGGCTAATGACTGCTTTAAATAAGGCTTTTGTGGTTAAAAAATGATAATTTGGTAGCATAATTACTTTCATTACTTGGACAGCAGTGATTTATAGATGATAGCTCATTTGCCATGCTGTAGATCACACATGTCAAACACAAGGCCCGCCCGCAAAGTGGTTTCATGAGGCATGCGAAGCCATCCTGGAAACAGTAAGGGAACGGCCCCACTGCCTTGGCCCTGGCCCAGGCCGGCCAGGAGCCAATGTACAATTTTGTGGTGGCCATCCATGCTGGAACATATTCAGTCTTTGCTCCACAAGGTCTGGAAACCGCTGCGTCGCCCCCGCCCCATGGGGGTGCACTGGGGAGGTGTCACTCTTCGTGAGGAATGAAGAAATGCACCATCGCCTGGAAGTGGCCAGCAAATGACCCTCGCCTACTTCACATGTCTGGCTTGGTGGGCTGCGGGGGAGGGGATGCCACGAACGGCATGACAATCAACATTATCTATGCAACGCCATCCAGCCCCCAGCCTGCCCAGTTTTGGCAGGCAGCAAGGGCGCTCTCCCCACAGCACTAAGGCTGGGCCGGGCGGCACGAAGCTGGCGAGAAGCCGAACCTGCCTGGTGCAGAGGAGGCAGCGAGCGTATGGGGCCTGGCATCTCGGGTGGCTGTTTTGCCCCACAGGGTGACCAAATTCTGAGAACTTCCCTTTCACCCGGGACGCCAGACCTCAATGAAATTGACTTTGACATCCCTGCTGTAGATATAAAGTTTCCTACCAGATAACTGGCCAAGGAAGTTTACATCCATTGGACTTCAAACAAACAATAGTAAGCAGGCTAACCAAAAATGTCAGAATGCTTATTTGCATTTAGCCAGTCATCTTTTATTTTTGACTCAGCCTAGTTCATTATTTTTCAGCCAGTTAAATGTATTTTTTCAGATATATGAAGGAATATAGCATGTTCCTATGATTTACCGTGCAATCACACAGACAAATTGTTTTATTGCAGGTTACAGCCAAAGCAGCTGTTGTCTTTGTTACACTTCAGTACAATATTACCATTCCTGTTACAGGTAATCATCTAATAAATGTTTGGGTATTTGTCTGCAATGTTATTATACACCAGGAACATATTGTGTCTTAAGAGAAAGATAACCAAATGTGAATGACATACATCAGGAGAAATGTTTAGCAAGTGATAATGCTGTTCCATTTGTGGCATGAGACCACAGAAATGGTTTAGATATATAATCAAACTGGTTCAGTACAGTATGGTTGGTGTTTGAAAGGCTCTGAGGTTTGGATTCTTCCAGTCTTTGCTCATTCCTCTTCTCTTGGATGGAGATTTCATCTTTTTTCTTCCTGGTTTGTGGAAAATCAGAATTAGTTCTTTCATCAAAACAATAAAATATGATGCCACAATTTGATCCTAATTTTTTAATTTTGACTTGCATTTAATGTACTAGCAAATCTTTGCCAGTTCCAACAAAATGACATATTATTGCATACTGCAAATCTAGAAAGGAATCAGTTTTCTAGAAGTGGAAATAAATCTGGCACTCTTACAAAGCTTGTTTACATGGTATGAAACTAGGGCTTGGCATCTGCTTTGCATCCCCTAAAGCAGCAGCCCTCAACCTTTTGGGCACCAGGGATCGGTTCCATGGAGAAAGGTTTTTCTGCAGACCGGAGGGGGTGTGGTTTTGCAAGCTGCCTGCATCCTGCAGATGGGGCTTCAATTGTTTGCACCGACCGGTTGCTGGCATGCCGTGGCCCAGTGCCGGTCCACGGACCAGGGATTGGGAACCCCTGCCCTAAAGGAGTATCGCTTGAACTTTCTACAACACAAACCACTAAATGTTCCAAAAAGACATGGACTTCCCTTCTCCTTTGTATGTCAAAAGAAACCCCATGATGAGTTTGTGTATAATATAGTCATGTCTTCCATTAAAAAAAAAACTTTTTAAACTAACTTTTGTATAAAAAAAAAAGTATGTCAAGAACTTACAGGTTTACTTGAGCTAAGAGGTGAGCAGACTCTGGCCAACTGATTTAGCGACCTGGTTAAGTGCACCATCAGCTAGCTGGCCAAGCCAGAGCCCACTTTCTGCCTTCACTCAACCTCCATCTTGCACCAGTGGTCAGCCAGCCAGCTAATTGCCAAGGAAAAGAGAAGGGCATATCTAAGGCAGAGTATGGGCTTTGGCAAATCAACATGGGAATCCATATGAACCACCAGTATCTGCAGATTACAGCTTAGGAATCACATCTTAAATTAAATCTGTTTGCTAATCAGCTTTTGAATTTAAAATTTGGACAGAAAAATAGTGAAAATCTGATTAATCTCAATATTTTAAACTGTTGCCTGCATTGTTCTTCCTGTACTGCTACTCCTGTTTTGTACTCACTTGGAGTATAGAAAGAAAATTAGATATCATTCTAAAGTATTGTTTTTGATTCCCGATATAAATTGAACGAGGCTGGTTAAAACAAATGCATTCTTAAATATTGTTCTTTGTTTCTCTCAGAAAACCAGCCTACAGATACAGTGACATTATATCATTATGGTATCAAAGATCTGGCTACTGTTTTCTTCTACATGCTAGTGGCAATAATCATACATGCTGTTATTCAAGAATATGTGTTAGATGTAAGTATTGTTTATTAGACTAATAATGGGCTCTGCCACAGTAGAAATTGATTGATTGCATGCATTGTGGACTTGCATTATGGACTTTTGATATATATGACAAGTAACTTACTATCTAAACTATCATAACTATCAATAATAAGATAACTTTTTTCTTTAGAAAATTAACAGGCGAATGCACTTTTCCAAAACAAAACATAGTAAATTCAATGAATCTGGACAACTCAGTGCATTTTATCTTTTCTCTTGCGTCTGGGGAACAAGCATCCTTGTGTCGGTGAGTATGTCAGAGGATCTAAGGAGGATCAATACTTTCCTGGGACATTAGATGCTGAAGTTTAAAATGCTAACCCTAGAATGCAAAAAACTTAGAAAATATGTTGCTAAATGAAATTATTAAGTGGGGATGGTAGTTTGTTAATGGAGACTTGCCAGCCAAGATAATGTTTGTGGCTAGGAAATGTTCTCAGATAGTTTTTATGGTACAACAAGGAGTTCACTTTTTGTTGAAGTTGTCTCATATGCATCTGGCATTAATTTGAGCTCTATGAAATTTGTAGTTCATGTAAAACTGTTGCTTCTCTTTCTTGTATTTTAGAAGCACTTTTGTTTAAAATGAGGAATCAGTTCAGTTTGAGGCATGCTAAGCTAAGTTATTTAACTCAGATTTCTGTGTCAGCCTTCCCTGCTATTGGCCATGCTTAGAAAGAGGTTAAGCAACATACACAGGGCATTGGACTATACTTTAATATTTCCTGTGTCTTATTTTCAGGAAAACTATGTATCAGATCCAACATCACTCTGGAGAGACTATCCACACACATCAATGCCGTGAGTTTTTTTTTAATTAAGAATGACATCAATAATTTCTTGTATCTATCCCATCTAACTTTTGTAGTTATTAAAATAATCTACTTAATTATGTATAAAAATATCTAGTATTTTCAGGCAAATAACAGAAGTTATTTTATTAACAATGCATTTACAGTAATCTTATGTCATTAGTTTTTAAGTACTCCAAAAAATTTAAAATATTATTCCATTGTATAATCTTAGCTCAGAGGTTTTTATATGAAATAATCAGTAAATTTTAATTTTGATTTTTACATCTTGTATTCTGCAGGTTTCAAATGAAGTTCTTTTATATCTCACAGATGGCATACTGGTTTCATGCTTTTCCAGAATTCTATTTTCAAAAGATAAAAAAAGTAAGTTTGCTTCTAAGATCTTGTCCATAAGCTTATCAAATAAATACATAAATAATAAGCATAGTTATTCAGACAAGAAGAAGCAGAAATGTCTATGTGATTTGCAAAAAAAAGATACCTTTAAAATAGAGCTCGTAATCTGAAAAAATGTCAGAAAGTAAGGTTTAGATATGTAACTTCAGGCTCTTGTGTTCTTCTCCTACTTCAGTAATTGGAAGGTTTTGCTTCTTGTTTCAGCCAATCCAAATCTGCCTCTCTTCACTGCTCCTGCAGCCAGTTCGAGCAGCTTCTCAAATTGAGAAACAATTTCTTGATTAGTTTAAAGAACCAGGAAATGAACCTTCCATAATTTCTTCTTCTTCTAATATTCTGGTTTGATGTTAAGTCTCTCCCCACTCTCTAACCCTAACCCATATTCAGTTTTGGACTCTTGAAGTAAGAGCTGTTACAGTATGGCACTTAAGTTATAAATTTACCTGTCCTGGAACTTGTGAGTGGGTGACATCATCATTTATTTTAGTAAAGCTTTTGGGCTGATTTCATACAGTACACTGAGACATGAATAAATAAACTGTTACAACTTAGCATGTTATATACCCTGTCATAGTATCCTTTTTAAAGATCACTACATAAATTAAACAGATTATTTTTAGGCAGTAATGGAATAGTTAAGCGTTTTATATCACTAACAAATATGGTATTTTCCATTAAAAACAATAGTAAGCAAGAAAGAGAGGATTTATTGATCAGAAAATTTTGCAGTAACTTGATAAGTTTATTATTTTTCTAAGTATTCCTAGATAATGGACAACAATTCCTATAATTCCCAAACAGCATATTCTGCAACCTTTGGGGCTGACAATTAGAGAGGATCATAGATAAGAAACACAGTTATGAAAACTAATTGAATATGATAAGAATTCTTGGAAAATTCATAAGCTTGCATCTCTTTCATAGGAAGACATTCCTCGCCAGCTTGTTTACATTGGGTTATATCTTTTCCATATCACTGGAGCTTATCTGTTAAAGTGAGTGACATTGTTATTTTGCTGGGGCAGGGAGTCCAGTAATTTGTAGGATACAGTCCAATAATTTGTAATAAGTAAAGTAGAAAACTGGTGCCTCCAATGATACATTATAGGTCATCTTGCAATATTTCCTGTAGCATAGTTCAGAAGACAAATTAAGCTATAAAAGTACATATCAATTTTCAATATGTTGTGCCAATGTTTAGAAGGATTCCATCCCACATTTAATAGATAGCATAGCAATAGCAGAGGTCTCTAGAAAGAGAGACCTTGGCAACTACCCATTCTTGGATTCTACTTTCTCCCTACCATGCAAATAGATGTATGTTGTTCTTTACACAACTCACGGGGAGGATGGGACAACGCCAGTTTCTATCCTTCAGTTGCGTCTGAGAATTTGAGGTTGGTGTTCTATCCTGGATGTACCAAATGTTCTCAAGATGCATTTTTATGACAAACATAATTCTAAAGATCTTTTGTTTCTTTGCCAATTAGCATCTGGTGCTAATTTATTTTCTTTTTTATAGTTTGACCCATCTTGGTCTTGTTCTTCTTGTGTTACATTATTTTGTGGAGTTTCTGTTCCATATTTCCAGACTTTTTTACTTCAGTGATGAAAAATACCAGAAAGGGTACGTGCTTCTACTGTTATATTTCACATATGCCATCTCACACATTATAAATGTTGTCTATAAATATTGTTCATATTTAGTTAATACTTACTGCATGCATAAATGTATATATTGTATACTGCAGACATGTCCAAAGTCCGGCCTGCGGGCCATTTGCGGCCCGCGGCCCGGTTTAATCCGGCCCTCGAACAGCCCTCCCTGCTCTATATAAATGCGGCCCTCCCACGGCCCTCCGGCAAGTCCCATGAGAGAGACAGAGACAGAGGCACTTGCACTTGCACTTCTCTCTCTCTCTCTCTCTCTCTCTCTCTCTCTCTCTCTCATGGGACTTGCCCCCTCGCAGGGCTCCTCATTGGCCCTGCGCCCTGTTACCCCGCTGCCAGCCCCGCTGCGCCCTGTTATCCAGCCGCAAGCCACCATCCGCCCTGTGGTTATAAGTGTCCCGGCAGTTGGGACCCGCCCCTCCCGGAAGTCAATCAATCCTTGGCGGTTCTCCGTCCGGCCGCGGCTTTCCCCGGCCGGCTCCAGCAGTTCCGGCTGATTGCCGGCACGTGGCTGTTTCTCCCTGGCAGCCTCGGCCCCCCCAGCCCTGTCGGTGAGCGCCCGGCAGGGCGCAGCGTCGCCAGGCCTCCCCCCCTTGCACG